TATGTGTAACTGTGTGCCTGTGTATGAGTGCAGGTGTGAGGCCCCCCTGGGTGTGTTGAACTTGTGCAGCTGCTGGCTGAAAGGTTGGAGGTTCGAATCCACCCTGAAGCTCCTCTGAGAAAGGCCTGGCAGCCTCAGGGAACCGTGTCCTGATCCTGCTGCATGGCCTAGGCCCAGCAGGCTCTGCAGCCATGGGCTATGGAAGGCTATGTGTGGGGCACGTGTGTGCAGGCTGCTGTGTCAGTGCTAACATGGACCTGTCTGTGTGCCTGTGTTTCTCGGTGACTGAGGTTTGTCTGTGGCTGTGTGTGTGTAAATGTGTCTCTGTCTGTGATGGGGTGTCTGTGTGACTGTGTGAATGTCTGTGTGTGACTGTATATGTATCTGGGTGTGTCTGGGTGAATGAATGGGTGAATGTCCGTGTGTCCGTGCATCTGGACATCTGGATGCGTGCATGCAAATGCCTGCGAGCCGAGGCTTGCCCTTGCTCATGTGCTGTGTGATCTTGGTGAGGGGTGGGGGTGGAACTCATGAACCTTGTCCCTGCTGCGGAGCCCCGATTGGGGTCTTCACCGCCTGGTTGGACTCTTCCTTGTTCTGGTGGATCCCAGGCTTGCCCCCCTCCCACGTCCTGCTCCCTGGCCCCCCTCTCCCTTCGGCGCTGACCCAGGCCTCTCCTCCCAGACCATCGCCAACCACCACATGCAGTCCATCTCCTTCGCATCTGGTGGGGACACGGTAAGACCAGATGGTGGGCGGGGGATGAGCGATGGCTGGGGGGTGGGCATCCAGGAGTCCTGGAGGCCCAGCTGACCTATCTCTCCCAGGACATGACCGACTACGTGGCCTACGTCGCCAAGGACCCCATCAACCAGAGAGGTGAGGCCGCCTGGGAGGCCACGGGTGCACGCACTGCAGTCCGAGCCTGGTGGCCGCGGCCCTGCTGACCGCGGCCGCCTGTCCACGCCCGCAGCCTGCCACATGTTGGAGTGCTGCGGCGGCCTGGCCCAGAGTGTCATCAGCACCATGGGCCAGGCCTTTGAGCTGCGCTTCAAACAGTACCTGCACAGCCCCCCCACCGCGGTCGGGCCCTCCGAGAGGTGAGTACGCCCGCCTCCCGAGCCCACCCACACACAGAGCTGCTGCCTCAGGGGCAGCCAGCCACCTTCGGGGGCCCTGTGAGCGCCTGGCCCGGCCCGGCGACAAGTCTGCAGCCTCCATGGCCTGGTCTAGACCCGGCAGCTTTGCTGCACCATCTCAGCACAGAGCCATCTCAGCCATCCGCCATCCGCGCCGCCTGCCAGCTCTGCACTCGGCATCTGGCATCCCCGGGTGGGTGGCAGTGCGCCAACGGAACGGTATTTCTAGAGGCCGGCGTCTGAATGTCTGGACGTGGCACACGTCGCTAAGGGTTGCCTGGTGATGTTTTCCCAACCACGAAGAGGGTCGTGCTCCCAGTAACCTCGTGAGGGTGGGTGGTGGGTGGGCCGTGGTTTTTCCCCCGTGGCCCTCCACGGGAGGAGAGGCCAGGGTGATCTAAACACCCAGCCACCAAGCGGCGCCGGTGACCGAGGAAGCGCTGCGGGTTGCTGGCAGACTGCATGGGGAGCGCCGAGGGTTTTACTGGTGCTGGCCGCAGAGCCCGGCTGGATTTCCAGGGTGGGGTGGGGTGGGATGGGCATGTGCGCTGCTCCTGCTCCCATTCTTTGCTGTGACCCCACTCCCTTCGAGGGCACTTGCTGGACCAGTCTCCAGACGTGCTGTCACTGTAGCCAGGCCTTCTGTCCAGGCTGTGGCCCAAGCTTAGCAGCTGGAGTGGGCAGGTTGAGGCAGATGCCAGTCTTTCTGGGGACCTGCTGGGTGTGGGGGCCCCAATGTAATATGAGGAGAGAGAGAGAGGACCTGTTCGTCCTTTAACAAGTGTTTCCTGCCCAGCTCTGGGATTGGAGGGGCGGGCAGTGCTGGGAGCCGGGATCTGAACCCGGCTCCCCTTGCTTGAGCCCCGTGGCCTGGCTCATTCAAAGCGTGAAGCGTTGACCTCGGGAGGCCCTGCAGTTTGTGATGGCCCCTGCGGGCTGGGACCACTTCCGGGCTCCCCGAGTTGCTGTCTGTCCACCCACCAGGCTGACCGGGCAGGAGGACTCAGCCTGGGGGGACGAGGAGGCAGCGGAACACAATTACTACAACAGCATCCCTGGGAAGGAGCCGCCCCCCGGGGGGCTGGTGGACTCTCGGCTGGCCCTGTCGCAGCCCTGTGCTCTGGGTACACTTGGCCAGGTCAGTCATGAGGGGCAGCACCGGATCCTGTGGACTCATCCCTAGCTCCTCCTGTTCTCATGTTCTCGGCAACCCCAGAGGAGGGTCTCTTGTGCCCCCATCCACCCACCTACCTAACCTGTCCATCACCTACCCTCCCACTCACTCATTCACCCACCCTACCTATCCATCCATCCACCTGTCCACTCATTTGTCTATCCATCTGCCCACCACCCATCTGTCCATCTGTTGTCCATCCATCCACCCATCTACCTGTCTATCCACTCACCTACCTACCCCTTCATCTGTTCATCTGTCAATCCATTCATCCATCTATTTGTCTACCCACCCATCCACCCATCTGTCCATTTGTTGATCTATCCATCTTTTGATCTGTCTACCTGTCCATACACCCCCCCACCCATCTATCTGTCTATATGTCAATACATCCATCCACCTATCCATCCATCCATCCATCCATCCATCCATCCATCCATCCATCCACCCACCCACCTAGCTATCCATCCATCCATCCATCCATCCATCCATCCATCCATCCATCCATCCGTCCATCCTTCCATCCATTCACCCAGCCTCCCATTACCTGATCATCTGTCAATCCACCCACCGACCTATCCACCCATCCATTCACCCATCATCCATCTGTTCACCTGCTAACCCATCCACCCATCTATCCATCTGTCAATCCATCTACCCATCCCCACCCCGCCCCACCCACAGATGCAGCAAAAGTTGGTGTTGGCTTTCTGCTCAGCTCCACCCCGCTGCCAGGCATTTTAAGGTCGCCTGAACATTTTGGACATTGTACCCACCCCTAGACATTGACTCAATAATTAAACTGGTTGGAATCTGGATGTGATCAGACCCCCGGGAGGTTGTGGAAAGACAGGGGGGGGGGCTTCCTTGGGGAGGCAGCATTGGGGAAGTCCCCTGATGGGTGGGGAAGGGCATCCAAGTAGCAGGCACAGCAGGTACAGACTGGCGGGAGGGTGCCGTGTGGCGAGGAGGAGGCCCATGAGGCCGTCAAGATGGGCCATGGCCACCCCTGCTCTCTGGGGAAGGGCTGCGAGCCAAGCAAGCCCCCTTTGTCTTTCCCATTTCCAGGACTCTCAGAAGGGGCAGCTGGAAGACCAGGTTGCTGGTCTGGGGAGGAGGGGGTGCTACAGGCTTTTTAGGAAGTGGGGGGAGACTGGGCTGGGGAAAGGGAATTTGCACGTCCCTTGAGGGGACCCCACACCCCTCTTTTTCAGGGGGCAGCTCCTGCGCAAAGGGATGGCCGTGGCCTGCCGTGGGACCTGGGGCCCCCAGGAACAGGTAGGACAGCCTCAGGGCCAGGAAGGAGCCCAGTCCCTGCCTGCTGCCTCTGCTCCCTCCACCCTCCCCTGGGCCATCTCTGCTTTTGCATCTCTGCTCTTGCATCTATTGGTTCTGGACCCAGCAGGGGAGCAGGTGTTGAGGGAAATTCTCACTGCTACCCCCGCTCCACACCTGGGCTGCCAGTACGGAGAACTGGCTCAGCTCTTTCCCCAAAGGCCTCTCTCACACTTGGCCTCCTGGCCTGAGTCAGGGCCTCCGAGGGGAGTCACCCCGGGGGCGGCTGCTCATTCCCTGTGGGTGGAGACCTGCACCTACACTCAGAGTGTGAAGCCCAAGAGCATCCCGGGCTGGGGCGGTGGTCGGCTGCACACAGTGATAACAGCATGATGCCGGGTTAAAGATAATAGTCCGCAGCCAAGCCACTGAGTTGATGGAGACTCAGCTCTGCGTGTGATGGGGTGGAACCCTCCCAGCCTCACCTCCCCCTACCCCAAGTCTCCTTGCCTGTCACCTTCACCAATTGCAAGATCTTTTCCCCTGGAGCCTCCGGTGGGCTGGAACCGATGACCTTTCAGTTAGCAGCCAGCTGCGTGATCGTGGGGTTACCAGAGCTCCCCGGGACCCACTGCTGCCCAGTCGCTCTGACGCACGCACAGCGGCCCTGTGGGACAGAGCAGACTGCTCCTCAGGGTTTCCGAGGCTGTCGGTCTTGAAGGGGAGCAGGCAGCCTCATCTTTCTCCCTCCGAGCAGCTGGTAGGTTTGAACTGTCGATCTTGTGGTGAGCAGCCCAATGCTTAACGCTTAATGCCCCGAGCCCTTGGGCGCCCCCAGGGAAGCTTTCTGAAAAACACAACAATGACAGAGAAGGTTAACACTGTGTTCCCACTTGAAGCTCGCTTCAACCCTGGGTAACTCCTAGTCATACGTCAGAGCCCAGCCCGTGTGTAGTGTCCCAGGGAAGCTGCCCCCCGAACTACCCCACTGTGGGTGTCCACTTCCTGCTGTCTTCCTTCCTTTAACGTCCTTCATAAAAGCAGCAAATGCAGCCCCGCCTCTCCCAGAATTCCCAGAGACGGGTCTGTTTTCTCAGTGTACAATTGCCCCTGGATAGAAATCTCTCTCTTACGGACACATGCGTGCCAATACGCTTGGTTCTCCATTTGACCTGGACTCATGTGGGTCTCCTCCGGGGAGCTGGCGCTGTGATGCCCGCGCTTGGGCACCCTTCTGCCCCCTCCTCAATGTCCCGCTCTTTCTCGGTGCCTTTCTTATGACTAACGGCCTAGAACTCCCAACCCCCCAGCCGGAGTTTGCCCCCTCCTGGCAGCACGGGGACGTGAGTCAGTCTGTGGGCTTGCTTCCCCAGCCTCTCGAACATCTGTGCTGGCTTCTTTTAGATCTCCCCAAACACGACAGGCACTTGGCTGCCGGGCCTCAGGGCCCTCTTGGCTCGTGGTTAGTTAGACATCACACGTGTCCCTGTCTGCCCACCTGGGCATCTGGGACAGGGGTTGTCTGTCCCTCCAGGGGCTTCTTCTCTGGCACGTGGGCTGCTCTCCCTCAACTCCAGGGCTCGTGGCATTTCCTGCTTCGGCTCCTTTGCACGTGGCCTTTCTGCGTCTTGGCTTGTCCCCTGTGTTCGTCTTGGTGGACCAGAGAAACAAATCTAGGGAGACTCGTGTGTGTAAGAAAGAGCTTTACATCAAAGAGTCATTGCCCATTGAGGACGTCTCAGCCCAGTCCGCACCAAGTCCATAAGTCTGCTATGACCCCATATGTCAATACTAGTCCATAAAGTCCTCTTTGGACTCACACAGCCATGCAATGATGCCGAATACAGGAAGATCACAGGCCAGTGGGTAGAAAGTCTTGTGGATCCAATCCACTGGTGGTAAAAACTTCTCAGCCCTGGCGTGGGTCTCCACGTGGCTCCTCCAGTTCCAGGACTCTGGCTGCATCAGTGTAGCTCCATGTGGCTTGTCTCCCAGGGAGTGAGTGTGTGTCCCACCTCCAGCAAGTTATTTATCTCTCTTGCACCACCAAATTAGGTCACCAATCTGTCACTTGATTGACAGGCTAAACTCCACCCCTTTGCTCTTAATAGTCTCAAATTGACAACAGATTATGTACCTACCACACCTCCCCTAGTTCTCTGGCCAAGAACTCCTACCAGTGCTTCAGAGCCCCAGCTCCAATGCCCAGGAACTCGCCTACCACCCATTGCACCAGCTCTCCTCCAGCTCTAAGCCGTGTGTGTGTGTGGGTGGGGAGATTGAGGTGGAAGGCTGGGCTGCCTCCACCCCTCATCAGCCAGCTCAGGCCCGGCCATGTTAGCGATCCTCTCTCCTCACCCCAACTTTACAGAGACACTGCTCAGCCCAGTTTTTGGATGGAAACATGGGGGCAGAGAGCTTGCCTGGCCCACAGAGGACACACCTGGGGTTTGAACCCAGGTATCTGGGTCAAATGACCCATCCCTTTGGGTAAACTGCTGCACAGGACGTCTTCAGAGTGCTGAAAGGCAGGCAGATCACCTGGAGGACTGAGGTGCGCCTGACCCACGCCGTGGTATTTTCAGCCACCTCATCTGCACGTGAGAGTTGGACACCGAATAGGGAAGCCCGCAGAAGCTTCGTTGCACTTGAATCGTGGTGTTGATGAGGAGCATTGAAAGCACCGTGGGCTGCCGAAGAAACAACCAAGCAAGCCTGTCTTGGAGGCAGTAGCACCAGAGTGCCCCTGGGAGGCACGCATGTCGAGACTCGGTCTCATGTGCTTTGGACATGGTTATCAGGAGACCAGGCCCGGAGAAGGACATCATGCTGGAGTTGGGATCGGCTCCACGGCGTAGCAAAAACAGAGCCCTGGGGGTGCAGTTGCACCCTAGCCTCAAAGGAGCACGCTGGCTGTAAGCACTGGGCTACGAACTGCAAGGCCAGCGGTTTGAATCCACCACCTGCTGAGGGAGTAAGATGAGGCAGGCTGTCTGCTCCTGTAAAGATGTATGGTCTCAGAAAACCCCAGGGAGCAGTGGTACCCTGTCCGGTAGGGACACTGTGAGTCAGAATGGACTCGGGGCAGTGGGTTTGTGGTTGTGTGCGTGTTTGCTGTAAAGAGCTTGAATAGACAGCTCAGAGCAAACCGCAGACATGTACCCCTCCCACCCAGTAAAAGGCCCTCAGCCTCGCCCCGTTGAGAGGCGTGGAGGGGGCCTTGCCAGAATGCCACTTCTCCCATCTCTTGTTGGAGACCTAGCAGGGCCAGGGGGCCAGGGTCCCCCAGAAGCCAGCAGGAGCTCCTCTAGGGACACTGGTCGTAGCTGACTTCTCAATCCCAGGAACAGAAGCGGGAAACGCATGGGAAACTGAAAGTTAAGCAAAGCGGGGAAGAGACCCAGACAGGACAAAAGCTGGTGTTTCCGGTCGGCTCCAGCTCCCAGGGAGAAACGAGCGGGTTGCCCTTCCTGCGTTCCGACTGGGGCCGTCTGGGTCAACACCAGACTCGCAGCTCCTTTTGAAAGCCAGGAGGGATCTGGTCCTGGGATTTGGGATTGGCGTGTGCGGGGTTGGTGGTGGTGGGCCCTCGCCCCCATCTGCTTCGTCCACTGACACCGCTGGGTGGACATGGACAGGGCTTGTCACCGCCTCCTAAGACATTTAACTCGGGCTGTGCACTTGGGGCAGCGTCCTGGGAGCCCAGTAGCTGGGTTCCAGGCAGGAAGACAGTGTGGGGAGGGTATGAAAGGATGCTGGTTCCTCTGTGTGCTGCATTCAGGGCCCTGCAAACACCTCCCCCCCTCTGCGAGGGATCCCCTCAGCTGACCCCATCACCCGCCCCATCTCCCCCTCCAGCCCGCCCGGGGGATGGCTACGTGCAGGCGGATGCCCGAGGCCCCAGAGACTACGAGGACCACCTGTATGTAAACACACAGGCCCTGGATGCTCAAGAGCTGGAGGAGGCAGTGCCACCCCAGGCTGAGGACAGCCCCCAGAAGGACCTGTTTGACATGCGTATGTCAGGGGGCAGCCAGGGTGCTGGGGGGAGGGCAGTGGAAGGGGGGAGGGGGACAGAGGGGGAGGGCAGTTGGAGCCGGGCGACCTGGGCTTTGGCACTAAAGAATGGCTAACAGAGGAAGCCCCTTCATGCAACTCTGATGTCTGATGGGGGAGGCATGGCTCTTTCTACCCATGGGATGCTGTCTGATGGGGAGGTTCACACCCCTTCTCCTGATCAGGTCTGATGAGGGAGGCTCAGGATTCCCTCTGGCTTGCGCTCACCTTTGAGCCAATCCCTGGTCAGCACATTCATCTGACTATGCTGATTGGCCAGAGCTGGTCACATGTCTGTGGGAACTGGAGACTAGCCTCTCTGGCTCCTGGTGCTACCGGACAGAGAGTCAGGGGCCTGGGTCACTCAGAGCCTCAGATAGAGGCTGTATTCTGCTTCCAGGAAGATCACTGCCCCCAAACCCCATGATGCGAAGGAGGGGCCTGGGGCTCAGAATGTGGAAGCGGTGTGTGCCCCATTAGTCTCGGCCAGGCACTTACATACATGTAATGTTCATAGCAGAACACGTGGGGAAGCGGCACTGCCACCCGTGCATACAGCACTAGAACAATCTAGTACAGCACGAGTGCATACTGCCCAGTGCAGTCGGACAGGAAAATGAGACGCAGCAGGACAGGGCAGACAGGCCGGTGTAGGTGGTCACACTGAACGTTAATGGAGGCGGTGCGACTGCACCACACGCTACAGGGGCCGCAGGCCAGCACCGCAGGGTGCAGGGCCGAACCCTGTGATCAGCCAACCACCAGGAGCAACCCCTTCCCTGCCAGGGCCTGTCTGAGCTCGGGGCACCCCTGTTCACCAGGCCTGGCCCTGGCCCTGGTCCCGACCTGCCCCTGTCCCCCCCCCCCCCCCCCCCCCCCCCCCCCCCCCCCCCCCCCCTCTTTCCCTGGGCCCACAGGTCCCTTCGAGGATGCCCTGAAGCTCCACGAGTGCTCGGTAGCGGCCCCACCGCCCTTGGAGGACCAGTGGCCCAGCCCCCCG